TCATTCTAAAGATATTAATTAATTTAGTACACTGTGTGGCACTAACGCTCATTTCAAATTTAAATAACTACACACTGTTGTTCCTTTACTACAGTGAGACCTACGTTAAAATTACCACATCCTTCTCATATAAAACTTTATATCTGCCGGCATTGTTGTACTTTGTTTTATGATTATAACGAACATCTRTGCTCTGTAATTATAATGAGGAATCAAATTAAATTTTATTTCGTTTTTAAGCTGAGGGCGGTGGTACTTTCCAAACTTCTGGTCAGACTTAGAATTTCATATATGAATTAATAGTAGAACAAAGTACAAAGTACGAAGAAAAGCATTACAAAGATTAAATCAATAACAACATTACAGATTGAAAACTATTATTAAAGTTAGAAAAAAGTTAAACACAGTTAACTGCAGTGAGTTAAAATTGGTCAGGCAATTGCTTACCAAATGCTTCATGAACGCCGAGTGAAACATAACTACAGAAACATAAATCAACGAAACTGCGAGAGGAACGAACTTTACCTTCCCTTACCGCGTATTTCTAGAGCTTTAAACTATTATTTAAATCGTTTTTATGAGCCGAAGATATTGATAGTTCAATGTATGTGCGTATGTATGTGTGCAAATCACTTTAATTCTTATCTTTACGCTTCACTTAATTGCACCAACACTAAATTCTTGAATAGCTCTTTATGCTAAGCTAGCACTAAGCGAAGATTTTCGCTTCTGTATAAATTACTGTTGCGAGATACCCAAATCAGCAGTTGCCAAGCGAGTGAGCGCAAGTCCGCCTAACTTCTAAGCTGAAAAAATGGTTTCGAGACAAGTAACCGTCTACACAATATTCCTTGCGTTGCTGTGTGCGCATGTCAGAGCACAAGTGGGTACCGATCTTATTTCTACTTTAAAACCAAACTGAAAATAACTTTCCTTTGCACAATTAGAATATCGACAATGATTTGGCAAAGATTAATAACGATTTGTACGCAATCCTCGGGAAGAAAAGCGGCATCGCGTCCACACCGGATGAAATGGAATACAATGAGGAAATAGATAAAGTACAGATGGCCAGGAGTAGGAACGATGGTACTACTCAAACTGACAAGCGAAACTCACTCAGTGCAAAACTGGAAGCCAAAAGGCAATTTGAGTATTACGAAAACCGCAGAAATGAGTTAAAAGAAACGATTAATAAACTTTTATCACTGGCTGAAAACTTGAACGCCACTTCGATTGTCAACAGCTTAAAGACCGCCCTGACCCAGAGAAATAATTTTAAAGAATTCGCAATAGCGACTGCTTTGGAGCAATTGGTGGCAGTCAACAATGGGATGCCGAATAATATGATTGGTGGCCCTGTGCAGCCAAGCGGTCCCAGTGCTGGTCCGAGTGATTTAAGCAATTTTCTAGACATTTTATCGAAATTCGTGCGGTCCGGCGGCCATTTGTTTTCACCTACCGTGTATAACCAAATAAGTCCTCCGTCAATTAATTCGCAATCCGACAATAACTTAAACCAACAACTAAAGGACTTGTTAAAAAAGTTAAACAAACGGCTTGCTTCCTTAAGCGAGAGGGACTATGATGACTGGTTGGAGTGGTTTGATTGGTAAWACAAAACGTTTTGGTAAATACACGAGTAACGGAAACTTAATTTTTGAAAAACGCTTGCACTTTCGTTCGTACGCATAAGCTTTCTTTTATTTTCAACTATTTATCTATCTTTTTATCCACAATAAATATTAAAGCATTTCATTTTTTCTGCAAGTTGTCGTTTTTGAAATGGACTCCAAAATGCAGCGAAAAAATTTGGAGGTGCCTTTTAATGGAAATGTTAGTCGAAACGACGCCTTCGTCTTTATTAATTTTCCTTTCTTAGACTCCCACTTTGGAGAGGCAAGGTAAATTTTACCAGATAATTCCGCTATCTCGTCAGCAAACCAATTTGCATTACAAGCGATGAGAATGAAGAGAAGATAGGAATAAAAACGAAAAGGCGCGTGAGTGTCTGATTACAACTGGGAGTGGAAGCCTAGTCCAAATCTCAGAAGTATAAAAGGCGCGAAAGAGTTAGGAGATAAGAGATTCAAACTTTATATACGCAACGAGCACATTCCTGTATAAGAGCTTAGAATCACCAGGTGTAACAACTGCCCTCAAAAAATGCCGAGGAAGAAAAGCACGAAAACTGSAAATTCTTAAAATGTAAAAAATCAGCCTTCGAAATCCTCTGTGKCGGCAGAATAGTATAGAACTAACCAACAACAAGTACCGTTGAACAAATTTATATACATCATGCATGGACTAAGCTAACACACGCGTACTTATAGCGTCATTCCTTTTGAGCTTAACAACCTCAAGGCWTTTAAATGCAAAATTTGAATACTCAATTCTTTCTACGAATAAGCAGCAGTGTTAGTAAGATTTAAGCACACACTTAAAATATATTTTTCCTGTTTTAACTGCTCCCATCTCATCCTTGCGTTAAAAAATGTTGCTTTGAATGTATGTGATACAGTTTTGCCAATCGGAATTTTTCGGCTCAAAATGAGAGAAGCAGAAATAAAAGTAACCTTACAAAGGAGTAACAGAAATATACTCAGGACCAAAAAAAAAGATTAAAAGAAAAAAGAGATTAAATTCAACTGTATTTTTAAGTAGGACAAACCTTTGAAGTCCCAAATACAAAGACTCCTTGTAGGCAGTTCTAATACGATAACTATAATGTGATCCATTTCGAAGTTCTCTACTTTTTTAAAGCAAAAACACTGAAAGTTCAAAWTTAATGGAGRATATTTGTTATCATTCGGAAGAACATTCTTTGGCATTTATTTTTTGAAGATTATCTTTTTAAAATTTTGACCTCGACTCCATCTCTGATGGTCCATCCTTTGAGTTCAACTTTCGATRACTCGTTTGAGCTTTTTCACTGGTAACTAGCGAATGACATTCTTGTGTTTTGCTCCAARGCCTGAATCTGAGCGAGATTTCCCGCATAGACTTTGCATTTTACATATCCTCAGGAAAAATGGGTTTACGGTTAGATATCACACGATCTACCAATCGACCGGCCCAGAACGTGACATTATCTGCTCACCGAAGTTTTCTCTCAATAAATCGATTGATAGATGCGTTATGCGTGAAGCGGTGCACTCTTGTCGAAACCAAATGTCACGAACTTTAATTTCAGGCATTAAATAGTCAGTTATAATGGCGCGATAATGGTCGCCGTTGACTGTTACGTTCTCCCCGGCAACAATTTTAAAGAAATATGGAATTCTGGTTCCCCGGGCCCACAAACCACATCAAACCTTGGTATTTTCTAGATGAAATGACAGCTCTGGAATCTCTGCAGGTTGCTCTTTGTCCCAAAYCCTGCAATTTTGCTAGTTTACAWAACCATTGAGAYRTAAATTGGCCTCATCRCTGAACCAAATTTAGYTCAAAACCGTCGGATCTTCTTGGAACCTTYCAAGAGCTCATAGAACGAAGCGAAGTCGCTTGGGAAGGTCGAACAGGTTCAGTTCTTGCACAAGTTGTATATTATACGATTTTAATTTAAGATCTCGACGT